TGGTGTGTTTGAACCCCTGACCTGGCAGTTTGCGGCCCAACCTGGACCCGACAGTGCCACCAAGGCCCCTGTCCAAAGTAAAGGAGTTTCCGTTTCCTTGGTTGGTGGTGGAGTGGGTTAAGCGTAAGCCGCTTGTGTGAGGACAGCGTTTCAAACCCACTGGCCGCTCTGCCGGAGAAGGATGAGGCCTTTCGCTCCCTTACAGACTACCGAGTCACCCTTCTTGGGCCGGTAGGGGTGCTGTGCGTCAGTCACCTGGACGGCAGTGAGGGTGTTGGGCTTTGAATTCTGTTCCTATGGAACTGCTTGAACAGCTCATTCCCAGTTGCTAAGTGAAAATAAAGTAAACTGAACTCTTATCTCTTACCAAGGGCGTGCCTTAGGGCCAGGGTGTGGCAGTGCTGGTAGGACCTCAAAGAGACCTGCTCAGATCTGTCCTGGGGGATGAGGACACAGCAGGACTCGAACTGACCTCAGTCCCTCAGCCCTGGGCTCTCAGCCCTCTCGCCTCTCCTGTGAACAGAGGGGTTGCTGTCCTGTCAAAGGGAATCAAGTCAGGGGCTCTTTCCCTGGTTTCAGAGGGAAGGAGCTGGGCGGAGTGGGAGGAAAGGGGAGGGAGGAGCTGGCAGGAGAGAGCAGGACGATCAGCTATTTTGGGTGCACTGCCCCAGGGAGGACAGACTGGCCAGCAGTGTTCACGGGGGTTCTCCAGCACCAGTTGAGGACTTGAATTATTTTTCTTTCCCCAGTGCTTTATTTCTTTTTAAATATCAATTGGAAGGCTTCATGAGGTGGTCTTCACTCAGACTCACTAATAGTTCTTTCTTTGCCACATCTGCACCCACTCTCTCTAGTCACACGCATATCTCATTTTTGTATCTGTCATGTATATATAATCTTATAGCCTCCGTGTGCTAGAGAACATAATTCACATATTTACATAACTTACGTTTGGGTATATTTATGTACAGTTTGTTGTGGTGCTTGGCCCTTTCAGAATTTACAGACATTGAGATCAAAGTTCTCAAGCCCACTGTCATTGAGTTGATTCTGATTCATAGGGACAAACTCCAATGGCCTCTTTGGGTTCCCTAGACTTTAAATCTTTACAGGAGTAGACAGCCTCATCCATCACCCTTGGGTTTGAACTGCTGACCTTGTGGTCAGCAGCTCGATGCATAGCCCACTATGCCACCAGGGCTTCTTGCGATTGAGATAGTGCATGTTACATACTTCTGCACGGGTCTCTTAGGAACAGGGATGTTCTCCTGCATAACTGTGATACCATTTCCACACTCGGGCACGCAGCACTGACAGAGCACGGTTATACGCACCATATTCGAATGGTAGATGTGTTCATTGTTTTGTTGTGGGGAGAAATAGGTAAAACGTGGCATTTGCCAATTCAACAGGGAGCCTTGGGGACATCGTGGGTTATGTATCGGGTCAACAGTTTGAAAGATGAGGCTTTCTACTCCCATAAAGAGTGGCAGTCTCGGAACCCACAAGGGCAGTTCCACCCTGCCCTATAGGGTCACTATGAGTTGGCAGGGACTCGATGGCAGTGAGTTTGGTTTGGTTTGGTGTAGCCAGTCCAGTCATTTCCACAGTGCCATTCAGTAGCATCGCTCCCCTTCATGGTGCGGGTCCTGTGTGAGGCTGTGAGCTGCTAGGGACCAGACTCTCTTGCTGTTATCTTCGTGCCTATCTGAGGACTAGATCAGTACCGGTCACTGATGACCTAGTCGTTCATGAATGCCCCAGACCCTTAGTCACTGTAAAGCACGTTGTAGAGCTTCGTGACTTTAAAATCCAGACACTCCCCAACAATAACTCCCAAATCACATCCTGCATTCTCCCCATGTAAAGACGCCACCTAGGGAGACGGGCTCCATCTCCCCTTTCGGCTCATCTTCTTCTCTCATATTTTACTTAATCCCACTTCCGATCCCTTCCGCCTTCCCTCCTCTCTTCCCCCTGGCTCAGGGGACAAAGGTCAGTATCTACCCTCATTCCACACCTTCGCCCTGGGTCTGTTTATCTCCCAGTGTGCATCTCGGCCTCCTTCACATCAGTGTCCCCATCTTGGCAGTGTCCCCAGCCTCCTTCGAGGCAGTTCTGATGCAGAGTGCCCCTGCAGACAATAGAAGGAAACTCCACCGGTCCGGCGCCATTATGTTTGAGCCCATTGTTGGGGCTTCTGTCAATCACCAGAATGAGGCCCTTCCGCCCCACCCCCAACCCTGCCACTTTACCTGGCGGGATGTCCTTCCCCACAAACTGGCCTTTCCTGATAATATGTCCAAAGTACGTGAGACAAAGTCTCACTGTCCTTGGATCTCCCAAGGAAAAGGAAAATGGTGTTTGGAAATTCTCCCTTAACTAGATTTCTACACTTGTAAAAATTCGCATTCTAACCAGAAAGGAGTGTCTGGATGGTGGATGGGAGGCTCCTGACCCTGGTCCATCTTAATCACCACCTGTTTGCACGGCCCCAAGTCTCCCTCCTCCTCCACGTGAAGCTTGTTCCTGCAGCTGAATGAAAAGCCGTTTGTTTCTGCACAAAGTTGTAAGCGGTGAAGTGGAACAAGGAATCGCGCCAGCAGCTTCTGAAACTCTTGAAAGACCCCTCCACAGGCTTTATACACATTTCTCTCCCCGCTTGTCCTTCCCGGCCCCCTTAAAATTTAGTTTTCCTCAAGAGCCAGAGTGTTCAAACAAACAATCCAATTCGTTTCCCTGGCCAGGGCACAGTACTCCACAGTGCTGCGTTCTACCCTTTCCTTTTGGGTTGCGTTAGTATTTCGTGGTTAAAATAGGATTTTTGTCAACGGGTGTGGAAAGCTAAGCAGCATTTCTCTCTCTGGAGAAAAAAATACATTCCACGTTCCAGACAAGCAACTCACAAAAGCGCCTTTGGAGCACACACCGTTGAGGGGTGTGGCTGCCCTAACCTGTTTCCAAGTCTAAGAGCAACTTCCCCCCAGCATGGAATGGGAATGAGCAGCCCTCCCAAGTCCCCGGATGCCCCCAGAGCCTCCCACTGAAGGAGAAGGCCGAGCAGGGCTAGAAGGGCGCCTGGATCCCACTGATTTATCTTCAGGGAAGAAAGATGCCCCCCTCCCCTCCCAAGCTTGCCAGTGCGGCTATGGGGCCGCCGCCCTGTGCCCAACAAGCCTGAACTAGACCCCGAGCCAAGCGTAGGATGCAGGCACATGAACACAGAGATGGCTAAGCCATGGCCTCTGCAGACTCTTTGAAGCCCCTGGGTGCATGCCCAGCTAGCTAGGGTTAGCTGCTGAGTGAGTGAGCGACAGAGGACTCGGAACACAGAGCCGGGGG